AATCTTGAGAAACAATCCCAGTTAAGAAAGTAATTTTTATTTAATTTTACTTTTCTTTCCTTTTTCTGTTAGAAGGGGAAAGGGGAGGGATGCGGATAATAATTCTCTGTCTTACTCTCTCTTTTCTCCCCCCCTTTTTCTTGAAAAATTTCGAAAAAGGGGATCGTTTACAAAATTGAAAATCCTGGCGATTAATTTTTACTAAATCTTCTAGAATTAATAAAGACAAGGAAAAATATAACAAAGAAAGTTGTCATAGGGAAAATTAAAGTATTTAGCTGCAGTTCTTTACAAATTGAATACAGAGAAAAAAAAAAAGGGAGAGGAAAGTGACGTTTACTACTCACAAATGGAATAATCTTTCTTTTTCACAGGCGCCATTTGTTTTTTTAATTATTGGAATAAAATGATATTTTCTTTTTGAATTATCATCAAATATTTTCAATTTGACGATCGAATTTTTTGATAAATTTCTCTCCCCAGGTAACTTGTCTTTATATTAAATAAAAAAAAAAAAAATTTCCCTTTNTTTTGATAAATTTCTCTCCCCAGGTAACTTGTCTTTATATTAAATAAATAAAAAAAAAATTTCCCTTCACGTGTGTAGATTTTCAAATACATTATTAACCTGTACGTTCCATAAAAAAAGTGCCTGAATAAATCCTATTAACAAGCTTTTAAGACTGTTTCTAACAAATTTTTCTTTTATTTTTAATGATGATCCAATATTAAATCGTTTACTATTGTTATTAATAAATAAATATTATAAAAATCGATTATTAAATTTAATTATTACGTTCTTCCTTTCTACGACACGTCACTTCCTCTAGCTGTAACTTTTTGAATTACCATACTTAATTATTACGTCTCCAACTTTGTTTATTACGTCGTATTTTTGTTTTGTTCTTTATACAAATTAGTTTATTATTATTGCGTCACTTCCTGTAATTGTTATATATTATATTATTAGTCTTAATTATTACGTCACGAATTGTCTTCTCGATTATTATACTGTTATTACGTCATTTCCTCTTATTGTTATTCTTAATTATTACGTCACGAATTCTCTTCTCGATTATTATACTGTTATTACGTCACTTTCTTTTATTGTTATTCTTAATTATTACGTCACGAATTGTTTTCTCGATTATTATACAGTTATTACGTCACTTCCTCTTATTGTTATTCTTAATTATTACGTCACAAATTCACTTCTCGATTATTATACTGTTATTACGTCACTTTCTTTTATTGTTATTCTTAATTATTACGTCACGAATTGTTTTCTCGATTATTATACAGTTATTACGTCACTTCCTCTTATCATTATTCTTAATTATTACGTCACGAAAGAGTTTATTACTTGTAACAAAAGCAGTCATTGTTATATTTTGGAAAATATTTTGTTTTCCCCGAAATCGAAAACAGGAAATGACGCACTACAAAACTTTTGTTTCAATATGTCAGAAAGATTGAACGATCGAATAGAACTGAATATTTTCAATGACAATTACGCATCGCAGCGAATAAAACACTAGGAGAAAAAGTACTTAATAAAACAATATAACTTTTTTTTTCTTTCTTCTTCTTCTTTACAACGAAAACAATAACTGCTCCATAGAGCATCGATGGTTTCGTACCATTTTCTGAAGATATATTTACGTTTAAAAAATAGAATTTTAGTGTTAAATCCGAGTTCGAATCTATTTTTGATAAGTAATCAGCACGTGGTTTGGGTTTCAACATGACCAGACCGTGAGAGCTGTTTATTTTTCTTGCGGGAGTCTTTAATTCCTTCTTCGGAGTAAGGCTAAGGATTAACGTCAGCGCCATCTGACGGCGCGACGTCAGAGCGCGCGCGTTTTACCGCTCCCCGTTCCATTAAGGGTGGACGTGGCCAACCTGCTAAATACTTCTCCCAATTCCTTTTTTTTTTTTCTTCCTCCCTCGTCTTTCTTTTGTAAATCTCGAAGTGGAGAATCTAATGAGATTCGAATTCTAATCGAATCTAACGCTTCGATTAATCGATTTTTGAAGGAAATCGATAAGGAAAATCGATTTTTCTTTTTATATTCGAGAAATTCGACTGTAATTTTTAAGTGTTTCTTTAATAATTTCGGGGAATTTCAGGGTGATGTTGTACTACTTTACAGACGGAGGGTGTTAATATTTCCCTTAAAAATAAAGGATATTACCCGGATCACGTGTACGTCAGAAAATGCAGGAAAGAATTATACCGCATCCCCCCCCCCAAGAAACCTGGACGTAACGCCGCCATTACGGTAGTGGAGGAGAAACACGTCAGTTGACTTAAACACGAAAAGAAGGAACTTTCTTTTTCAAATTAGTTAAAAAAGTTTGTAGAAGGTTAAAGACGGGGGGAGGAGGTGCGCCATAGTAGCAACAGAGGAAGAAAAATAAGAGGAGGACGTCAGGGAGCCCCCGCGACGTCCACCTGGTGTCGCCACCTGGTGAGAACAGATGGCATTAGCGGTGTAAGGAAATTGGATTTGTGTGGCTCCGTCTGGTTTTGTGGTCGGGCCATCTTGTTAAGTTGATTTATTTATTTATTTGCTATTTCGAGCGGGATTGTGCTTGAATTATTGAATGATCTGTTTTCTTCTCCAAACTTGTGCTGTCGGAACATCTTTTTTTCATCTATTTATATCTACCTTTCGTCATTTTGTTGATTGGTTCCCCCGTGCTCTCCCTTATTTGTTAATTGATTCAATTGGGGATTCTCCAAACTTCGAAATTATTCTTCTAATAATAGGAAAATGTATAACTGAAGCGGAGCAAGTTTCCCAGCACGTGGGTTTTTTTTTTCTATCCGCTCACTAATTAGGGTATCGTTTTCAAAGTGTAGCTCGTGGTACTGTACACAGGGGGGCGATCGCGAGCTAAAGTTTGAAGAGTTTGGAAGCTCTGATCGATTCGCCCTCCCAACGTGGGGTTATAGATTGTAGTCACGCAAACAAACTAGAAGGACGTAATGGTGAAGAGAGGGGGAATTATACTGGAAAGGAAGTTTGTAGCGATGTAAATTGATCACCCGATTCGAAGAAAGGACATTATATAAAAGGGGAGCCATTGTAACGTTAAGCTGTCACGATCCGTCGAAGGAAAGGCGAATACACTCGGGAGATTTAAAGGTTTCTCGGATCACGTGGTCGAGTAAAGAAGGGTAAAGGCACGGGTCTTAAAATCGCATAAAAGTGAGAATTATACGCGCCGGAATACTTTAAAAAAAAATTCCAGATTGCGGCGCGTGCAGTACGAACTAAGCAGAGCAAAAGAGGGATTACTAAGGGAGGGAGGAAAAAAAAAAAAAAAAAAGAAATTGGTAAGAAACAGAGGACATTTAGCCGGCAACACTGATGAAATGGATAGAGGAGAAGAGCGGAAAACAGGATTATGACGCCATCATTAGGGTCACGTGTGATATGTGGATTGTTTATCTATCCGAAAAGCTGTAGCCAATTGTAAGAATGTGATCTAATAGACGTCCTTGGCCAATATCATCACATTCCTAATTACAGCATACTATTTGATGTTTGCCTCTTCCATCTGTTTCGAGGAGGACGGCGTTAGAAGCGGTAAAAAATCTCCTTCCCCTTTCGGAATTTACGTTTTAAAAAGTTATAAAGAATTTTATATGTGGAGAGATGTGTAAGAAAGGGAGTCACGCCGACCACGTGACGTGGATAACGTTAAATAATTGGACGAAGAGGAAACGGATTTAAACCAATGGATTAAATCGTAGCATGAAGGGTTTTAAGAAAAGGAATAAAAGAAAGAAAGTATTGAAAGCAAATCTTCACTTACGTGAGGTTAAACTTAATGATTTAAAAGAATATTTCCATTCAGGCGGGGGATGGTAAAACACGTTTGCAGACGTGCGGAGAAGTGGATGAGTGGCACATGATTTACAGGATATTGTCTAGCTTGGTGCGAGAAGTGACGAGCACGTCCCCACTTAATCCCATCTTAGTGACCATGTTTCCATCCAACATTTTCTATTTACCTACAAGCTAGCGCTTTGTCCCTTCCTCTGGACTTCTCGTCACGCTTTACCATCCATATAACGCGCGTGAATTTTTTCTCTTCCTTTAAATTCTTTCCTTAAATCTCTTAAAGGATCGATCCCCAAACCCCCATGGCGCTAATTTTAATCATAAAATCCGAGCCCGTTATGACGTCGTACGGTACGTAAATACTCGTATTGAAAAGTAATAAAAGCGCTTTGTATGACGTCACGCATTACGAGTGTCTGTCTTCAACGCTTAAAGTTTACCCAAAATTAGATAAATTTCGCCATCTATCGGCGCAAATAATAAATATTAACTGTTATTGTAAAATATACGAGAAAACTTTAAAGGAACATTTTATTTCTTTCAAATTATACTTTCTGTAAAGATATAAACTCCATACGTTTACATAAATTATGTAGTAATATCATTATCGCGGTCAGACAAACACACACACACACACACACACACACTTAAGTGACCTATTTTAAGACGTAGCAAAATTATTTAACAAACAATATCATTTTCCTCATATTTAATCGATTCTATATATATATTTTATTTTTTGCATGTAACAAGTAATTATAAAATCAATTTTTGTTCGTATTTTTGTGTCATTTATATTTATAAACGCATTTTAATTTGTTATATGTTCACTAGATGGAAGCACCTGTCGAATATAATCCGTGTCGTAACGAATTTAAAAAAAATTGTTTTTTTTTTTTTAAATGTTATTTATTTCTGAAAATTTATAATTTTATAATAAAAATAACTCGAGTTTTTTTTCGTTAATTTTTATATAATTTTATTCTTTATTTATTGCTTATATCAAAGTCGATATATTAGTCTAATGCTGTGAAAGTGGCGTAATAAATATTTCATCCACTTCGAGCGCTGCAATCGCTTTGAGGCGTAAGTTTGGCTCGAGCATAGGGAGAGTGTCAGCCGTACACATTCAACTTGTATTGTAAATAAATCATTATTTATGCATTAGTTATTTTATGTTAAAGTTTGTAATTGTTATAATACATCGTAAGAAATGAAAGGAGATCATTATTGGCACTATTAACAAAGGAACGAGTCGATTGTTTACGCACAATGGAGCATCTAGAATCGTTTTACAGCAAAGTGAAAGATCAAATAAGCAGCCAAGAAGATGCTCTGGTCGTTATGCTGCATCACTACTTGCTGTCAAACCGAATGCATTGCGTGGGAACGGGGGAGGAATGGATCAAACCCGTCATGAACATCCAAAAAGATAAAATGCCTCCTAACTGGAACTCCACGAAAGAATCGTATAAACTGAGATACGTGGACGACAACGCTAACCGATTCTTAATGGAAGTGCATCCGTACGAAACGAAAAGAAAAAAGAAACTCTTCGTCTATTTACACTGCTTACAGGAGAAAAACACTTGCGCCACTGTTATTAATGTGAAAGATAGCGAAGACACTGGGAAATCGCCGGAACAACCTTATAAGGAAGAGATTCAGATTTATCAAAATATTCTACAACACATGAAAGATATCGTCTCGAATAGAAACGCAAAGGAAACGGAAATAGAAATGACATCGAAGAGAAAGCTTAAAGAAGGCACATCGTCTTCGTCTCCAGCGCCGACACCAGAAACACAAGAAATTTCGAGTAAAACACAGAAGAAACAATCGTCGGAACCTTCGTCTAAGAAGACCAAAGAACACGTTACAAGTTCTTCGTCAAAGGCGTCGAAGAAGGGAGCTCCGAAATCTCCATCAAAGGCCAAAGAACAGGAAGTACCCAAGAAGAAGGGGAAAGTTTCTCAAGAATAAAAATAAACTGAACGTTTCTACAAAAGAATAGTCAAAATTAAAGAAACTCTTGCCAAAATCTACCTTATATTCTAACTCTTTAAAGTAGATAAAGTGGAACGTAAAAATCCCTAGAATATTTCTTTGAAGGAAGTGAAATTACCTGAAAAGGGTATAAAATTCTCCAAAAGAAGTGTAATTTCATATTCAAATTCAGCCGGAAAAATATTTTTATCATTAAATAAATATGGCAACGATTACACTCTACACGAAAGATAGTTTCTAAGAAATTGAAATTCGAAGTACCGTTAATAATTTAAGGAGAATTAAACGATGTAGGATAGTGTAGGCTTTAAAGGCGGGTAATTGAATTCGTCTAATGAGGCAAACAATGTTTTTTAGGAGACACCCGAGTAGAAATACCCCACCCTTACCTGTTGAGTTGAGTTTCAAATGAACAAAAATCATTATAGATAGGTTAGTTCTGGTGTGTAATGTCATCCTTCTTTTTCATTAGTGTTTCTCGTGGTTTGTTACTTAGGATCCACATTCTGTACGTTAAAATATGGGCTTCTACCTAATGGAGATGGCGAACTATATTATGGGACAAAAAAAAACTAATAGAAAATTTAGAATTTTATTTATTAAACAATTAAAACACGATACATCGAGATAGGTTTATATTTAGAACGAACAGATGAGGAATCTATTTTTACCCTTTGTCACGGAACAAGCACCTGAAACGCCAACAAAGAATTAATACGTCACTCGATACGTTATCGGAATAGAAAATATGAATTTAACTCACTTTCTCCAGCCAGACAAGGGCAGTAATCCTTGTATATCTCCCCCTTCAATGCGAATTTGCTACATTTGTGTCCCTTTAGAGATTTACCGGCGCATTTTCTACCCTTGTTACTCCTCAAACAGCATCCGCTCGAACATTCTACACTGTTGATGCAAGGGTGACCATCAGATAAATCGCGCTTGTACGGCTGTAACGAGATCTCTCTTCGTGTTATTCTGTGTTGCTCCATAGAATTTAGTTATAGATTAAAATACTACTCACGATAATCCAACCGGTAAAGGGATCAATCATACGCTGCTCCAAGTATTCCTCCTGACTCGTCACCTGGCAAATTAAACATAAAGAAAGGATCAGCACGCAGTACGTTGTTTCCATCTCCGTTGACTACTGAGACGAGGTCGACTCTTGAATTTAATCGAAAACGAGACGTAACGACGTCATCGTGGGGTCAACGTCTGAGGTCTACCTACATTCGAAACTCCTGAACTAGAAAATTCGCCTTAACAATTTGTTTAATGTGAATAAACACGTATTCCGATATATTAACCATCATCTACTTGTCAAGATAATGTTCGTGTTAAGCAAAACCTTTTAAAATTACACAGAGTATGAAATATGTACCGTCATCTGTTCGTTTTGTTAGAATAGTGCACATATTTTACGTCATTTCTTTGGTTCTATAGTGAGTAATTCTTATTAAACACGTCAAATTTACTTAAAAATGTATAAATACCGAACAGGTTTTAGGTGAAACATTGCACATTCCGATCTTGACCCGGTTCTGTATGCAATGACGTTGCATCATTTTTGTTCTTGCCGTTTATTCTTGTAGCGAAACATGCTACATGAAATTTAGAAAATAAAATAATAGTATAATACACCAAAGTCTTTAAACTCATAGAGTAAAAATACAAAACATTGCTCACTCTATGACTTCTTTTGCCCGGTGATACAACTTTATGACACGAAATCAGAGCTAAAAATAAAAATGGCGAGTCGGTAAACACGTGACGAAACCCGTGAAAACGAATATTTAATACGAAATCATGCAGAGAATTACATCCGTGCTTGAACTTAAATGGATATTGCCTGGCAAATGTAAAGAAATAATACAATTTCTTTGTTTACATTTAAAATTATAGAAATTCCATATAGAAGAAACAGGAAAGAATGTTATCCGAGAAGTAATAAATATGAAAATGTCGTAACAATAATTGCCTTTTTTTGTTTGTTTAAGGTCAAATTTCACTTTAAATACTTATTAAATTAACATAAAATTTAGTTTCCGTGTGAAAACAATTTAAACGCAACGTAATCTGATAACAGATGCAATTTATTATGTACGAGTCTAATAGAAACAGAATTTGCATGTTTGCGTGTGTTTTCGTACTCGTAATTAGCAGCAATCAAAGAATTTTCTTTCTTTTTTCTGTGTTGTGTGGAAGACACAAGATTCAACCTGGAAATAATTAGGTGTAACGAACGTAGCAGAAGTCATACACCCCAAACAACTGAATCACTTATCTCAAAACACACCCTGGTTATTCCAGTTAAGACAATTGTAAACTTAGAATTCTTAAAACTCGTGCTTCATACGTAAAAATAGAATAATTATCTTTAAATTATGTGTCTAGACAATTTGTGTTCTGTAATTCTTTGTATGCGCCTCCCAACGTGGAGTTACCACAGGTGTGCCCACGACTGATTACTTGAACGTTATAAGCAATTGTTTTAGATTTAACTGTGGATCAAAAGCCTTGTGATAACTAAACAACAGAATGTTTACGTTTGAGTGAAGAAAACCGTGCATCAACAAATCACTAATACTCAAGAAGCGTATGAAAATAAGTCGGATGCTTTATTAATCAAGTAGGAACTAGATACAATGAGAAAACACGCGAGGTGCACTCAGGAGGAACATATGCCGACTCCTCTTTTACCTTTAACACACGCATCTGAAATAAATACAATTCGAACATGATTTAAATACATCAATAGAAGTGAAAAAATGAAAGACAATTGCTTACTTTCTCCCGATTTACAAGGGCAATGATTCCAATATATTTGTCCCTTCAATACGTCATTGCTACATTTGTCATTCTTCAGTGACTTGGCTGTACATTTTCTATGGGTACTTTTGTTACTGCTCAAGCAACATCCACTCGAACATTCTACACTGTTGATGCAATAATCTCCATTCGATAAACCGTATTTATATGGCTAAAAGGAACAGAAAATACTTAAAATTAATTGAAAAAAATACCCCATTTTACTGTCAACTAAAGTAAAAACAAAGATATGTCGTATTGTAAGCTGTTCTTGATTGTGTATGCGCTCTATAAAGAAAGAGTGGGTGTTATTTCTCCCGTATTAAGTTTACGAAGCATGTATTCTAAAGAAAGATAAAATCACAAACTTACGATAATTTCACCGGTGAAGGAATCGATCATACGCTGTTCAATATGATCACCCTGTGTTAACACAGCGTGAATCAAATACAAAATAAGGAGCGGTACACAGTACGAAGCAGCCATATTTACTAACAAGTTACAGAAACTGCGACACAGACGAGGTCAACGTCGAATTTATTCTCAAACTGGATAGGAAAACGTCACCGCCTACGAAAGAGGTTATTGTTCTGACGTCAGTGTTTCGATATCACTACAGTGTTACGTTTTACTACGAATTAAAATATTTCATAAAAAACACAATTCGTTTATTTTCTTCGGTGATTCATCGTTTCTAGTTTAGTAATTCGTTACGACACTGTACTGTACGTTGAGTCTAATACAGATGTATATTTGTTTATACAACGTACAGTACGTGTTATTCATAAAAGACTTGTTTTTAACACGTCGTTAATGCCCACACTCCACTTTTTTAGGTGTTATAAATAATTACACGTATTATACAACGAGTTCAAAGTCGAGGAAATAAACACAGGAAATTCGTATTTCCTGTGTTGATTTTAGGCATTCGTCATCAGTTTGAAAATATTGAGTTGATACGTAACGAATTTGAAGAGTATCTTTGTGATAGGGGGAAATTTGTCACGTGGTTTAAACTGGAGATACAAGGATGACGATTCTTCGATTAGTCACACATCGAGTTCAAATTTGGTGCGTGTGACATCACATTATTCTCGATGAAATGCCTCACGATATTCAATATAGTGACGTGACTTAAATTGCTTCACGAAAGTCACGACAAATTCCGAGTAAACCAAAAAATGCGGTTGAAGATTACAATAGATGAAATGATGCAATAAAGGCACGCGTGAAATATCTCTATTCGTGGAAGAAATTAAAGTAAATGTTCACTCCTTCATTTGCATTGAGATAAAATTGAATTCTTGTTTTTTAAGCATTCTTGGATATTTTTTAAATTATTTTACGTTTCTTTTTATCGCACGAATTGAGAAAAATCATTTTCAAACGATACAGCCGGACTTTTTTTATAGGCTATAATTTGGCTAATTAATTATTAAGATTATAAGTAATTGGGCAAGAAGTAAGCAGCGAAACCGCCATCTCGTGTTAGATGTAAGAATTAGATATAAATAAGAATATTTTAAATCGAAAATAAACTTTCACACTCTCATTTAAAGCATTTCATAACAAAAAAATAGATTAAAAAGGAAACCTTTTCTCTAAATTCATCATTTTTTAAGTGAAATTTTAAATTTTTAAGACCTTTTAATACACAAATACTGTATAATCATTTAACAGTTGATAAATTAATTATAATTTTTCTCCTCAGATGGCAGCATATACAGACTTCCATCAATCCACAGTGACTAAGTATATACCTAAATTATATAAAATTACGATATTAAGTATTTTACCTAATTGCTTCTGCAATGTGTTGTAATTATTAATTAAATAATTGAACACAAGCTGTATTATTGCTGCGAATATTTAGATGATAAAGTTTGGTTCATGGGCATGTGCATTGATTGACACTGCAGGCAGCCATCTTGTCATATATAATTTTATAATGAAATGCCCGTATTGCCTCCTATTTGAATCCTGAATTTTTCTTATATTATATTATATATGTATGCTGAAATAGAATATTGTGTACTGCTCAACCGGGGAAGAAGATGATCAAGATCAAATAATGGAGTATTCTCCAGCATCCGAAACAGATAAATCTTGAGACGTTTAACAGATGTAAATGCTCTCTTACAAGGAATCTGCTTCGGGAATAAATTAAATTATTTTGTTGAATTTGAAAATAATTTACGATGTGTCGTGCCATCCTCTGAAAGAGATTAATAACGTAAGACCTAATACAATGTAATAAAAAGAAGAGATAAGATAGCAATTGCATAATGTTACGACACACCCAACGTTGTACCTGATGTATAGTATTGTGAGAATAATGTGTACGAATTTGGTACTTATGGCTGTCACAAGAGAGTCTGTATTAAATTCGTGTAAAAATTTGTTCTTTTATCATTATTCTCCTTATTTCTCCCGTATTCACCCCTTTGCGGGGGTCGAAAGGTCTATTCCCCGGGCAATGTATTGCGTAGTTTCAAAGGGTGACCTCCGAGATGGGCGAAGTCGTCCTAGTCGACCGCGGAAGAAATTCCCTCTCCCCAGGGGATCGCTCGACTCTACTGTTTAGTTGATTCTCCCCAGGGGATCGCTCGCTCATTGGTTGTTTAGTTACACACCCCAGTTACACACCCCAGGGGGTGTGTAACTAAACAACCAATTAGCGACAACAAACATACGTTACTGTATAGAGGGTGAACGAAAAGGTCACCTGCATGGGTAGACCGTACGGTGAAAACTATATCACGTTACCGAGGATGGCCAGTCACTACCCCAAGTGATGACGATTTTAATACTAATTGGTCAAGAGATGGCTATGTAACTTCGTCACCCACGACGGGGGAGACGGTGATAAATCTGGAGAAGGTGTCAAATTCAAGTAAACAACACACGCTGCAAAGACAATTGCGTCAAAAAAGTCCCAGATTTTTCCCATGTTAATCGGGTATAAAAGGGGATCGCTCCCGCACCTCCGAGCGATCGTCGGGAAGAAGCTCCAAGACTGAAGCCTCCAAGCCTCCACTACCTTTGAAAACTTGCATGTATTTGTATCATTTGTTTTATATTAAATATGTTATTCTTAATTTTAATATTGTGTCATCTTTGAATACGATCGACACCTACCCCTTCACTCAGTTCACTACCCCTCCCCACTCAGTTAACAAGGCCATCCCTGGCAACGAAGCCGATAAGTGGGGGAGAAGCTCGCCGCTCTAACCCCCTCGGTTCACAGTATACTCTGTATTATCATAGAGTTACTGACAGATGTGATAGATGTATACACATACGCATTGTGTTTCCACGTGAAAGAGGTAAAAGTAAAGTTTGATGACATATCTAATTGGCACATCACAAATTATCCATTACTTGGAACGTATAACTCGATAAGTATATTCTGCGAATCGAAACGGAAGATACAGTATATTAATTTTATCGAAAAGTACAGTATTTCGTCACTCTCTTTGCCCGGTTACAACACCAGATGCAAATTTCTAGGAGTGGTTTGTCCGGTTCCAATCACATAAATTCATTTGATATTCTTCGAGGATACCATTTACTTTTCGGCTTTGAAGTTATTCTATGATTTAAATACAGGTAAATATAATAGTTTATGATTGCTAAATTGTATTAACTGTATAATTAGAGACGTGTATAGTCATTTAGTGTAATTTAAATTATTCATAAGGGTGGAGCGTGCGTCATAAGGTATATTGTTTCTATCGAGAACGTCAGAGACACGTCGCGTTGCAAATGGTGAACAGAGTAAGAATAGAACTGGCTAATCTTTACTCAGAACACTACATAAACATAGGCCTAACACTTTATCAGCAATTGAACTTTTTAGTTCAATGGCCGATAAAGTATTACGTCTATTAAACCCATCTGTATTATGTTCATTGTTTAAATTAAATAGTCTTATACCAATTAGATCTCTATAAATTTGACTACACCATACGTTTATAATTGATATCGAAAGTATCTTGATATAATTTTCAGTTACGCAATATTTCTGTGAATAAACCAAAGGATATACAGCAGACATCTGATTCTTGGGTGTGTAATTGTCTTCCCGTCGCCGAAGGGCGCTGGCAATTAATATATAGAAATAAAAATGAGTTGGCAAATTTCTCATTAAATAGTAATATTTTATATTATATTATATAATATAATATTTATAATTATAAACTGATTTTGCTACTATTAAATTCACGATAATATTGTATGAAGAGATGACGAATTATTTCAATGGATTTTACTTAAAATATTAGTAGAATAGTATGATAAAGTGTGTAAAGGAGTATTAATTAATTATAATTAAAAATCAGGACACATAAGTTGGTTCAAATACGCACTTTTAATATTCTAATAGCATCTTTATTTGTCCCATTTTGCCTCTTACATAAATCAAGTAAAAAGGTCGAACCTCAGCGTGTTTTAGATGGATATCTTTTAAAGTGAAAATATAATTAAAAGTGCTTATATTTCAGATTTACAGATGAAGTCATTCTCAGTATTAAAGATCGCGTTGTCAATTTGCATTATATCTCAATGCATGCAAGAAGCAAAAAGTTCTTCCATTTTTAGGAAAATTTCGGGCAAAGTAGTAAAAGTTGGAGATGAACGTGTTCATGCTTATTTAGGCATACCTTACGCAACTCCTCCAGTTGGAAATTTAAGATTTCAGAAACCACGACGTGCGAGAGCTTGGAATTCTGTGTATAATGCAACACGGAAACCACCGGCATGCATACAAGATTTACATTATTACAGTGACGAATGGCCGATGCGTGATCCAAAAGACATAAGCGAAGATTGTCTTTATATGAATTTATGGGTTCCTACTTCTAAACGAGGTCGGGAACCATTTGCTACCATGGTTTGGATTTACGGAGGTGGATTCAATACCGGCAGCTCAAATATGGATATTTATGATGGTTCCGTTATATCAGCGGTGGGAAATGTTATTGTTGTCTCATTCAATTACCGTGTTGGAGCACTTGGTTATGCAAATTTTGAACAGAAATGCGCGCGTGGAAATATGGGAATGTTGGATCAAGTGATGGCGTTAAAATGGGTTCATCGGAATATAGAGGATTTCGGTGGTAATAAGGACTTGATAACGATATTTGGTGAAAGCGCAGGATCAGTCTCAGCTGCGCATCATATGATCTCGCCAATGACGAAGGGGTTATTTAAACGAGCAATCCTGCAAAGTGGAAGTAATTACTACAAAGATTATGCATCAGATCCTATAGTAAACTTCGAATTGATATCGAAGTTCGCTAAGGAATTAGGGTGTATAGAAAATAACACTTTAAACTGCATGAGAAAAGTAAACCCTTTTGATTTAGCAGCCACCGAAAAGAAATATTTAATAACCGAACAAAAGTTTGTGAGTTTCTTCCCACAAAAAGGACTTCCATATCTACCAGAGGATCCACGTCATAACATAGATATAGGCAAATTTCACGACGTCGATGTTTTGATAGGAGAAACTAAGGATGAAGGTTCACTTAGTGTAGTCGGGTATAAGCCAGAAACATGGGTTCAAGAGAACCCCGTTCTGTCAAAATCGGAAGTAAAATACTTTTTAGGTAAATACTACGAGTTAAAAGGTGAACGTCTCGATCGCCTCTTTGAGGAATATTTAGGAAACGTATCCGAAACAGATTCCTCAACCATCCTTCAGCAGTTTATCAAAGCTTTAGGAGATGGAGTATTTTCTTGTCCTATATTGCATCTGGCTGAGAAACTGTCGAGATACAACAGGAAAGTCTTCCATTATACCTTCAATCACACTCGATTCCAATCGGAAGCGAAGGAATGGGTAGGAGTAATTCATTTCGAAGATGTGTACTTCGTGTTTGGAATGCCTTTTGTAAGAAGAGAAAACTTTACGGCAGAAGAAGTGCGATTTAGCAGAAGAATAATTGAACTGTGGACTTCTTTTGCCAAAACAGGGTAAGGCTGTTTTACAATCATTTATAATTCTCTAAGCCTATTAAATTCAAATTTTAGTATAATGCCAATTACGTAATTAATTCTAATAATTTATCAAATTAAATATATATTTTCACTAAAGTTTTTAGTGTTTTTTTTAATCTTGTATTATCAATTCAGGAAAAATATTTATGAATGACTTAGTATTAGTAAAGCTGTATATAAGATGAAATTTTAATAAATTTGAAGAAGAGTAATATAACAATGAAATATAATTGCCATAAAAATTAGCGCACAAAGAAGGAGTTTTTGGAATTGAACGAAGTTGTACAATTTCGTCAATTCCAACAATTCCTTCTTTGTGCGAGGAAAACAGTGAAATAAGTGATTACAACAAGAGAAGACCATTTATTGTATGCAAAAGTACAAATGAAAGAAGGTTCTAGTACCCTGTTGGGACATCTGTAGCGAGAACACACAATATGATACGAACGGGCACAGAGGCATACAAGTTTCGTATATTGTCCTGCGACATCTCGGTCCACAGTTGCTGCAAGCGGTCCTCTAGTTCGGCCAATCTTTTTAGCTGTCCAACTTGGCATCTCAGGTGATTTCAAACATGTTGGATCGGTGACAAATTAGGGGACTGGGCAGACAGGAAAGTGTGGCGGAGGGGCATCTGTGTGTTCGAGCATTGTTCTGTTGGAAAATGGCATTGGGATCCCTGCCACGAGAAGCAACATATGTGGCTGCAAGGATGTGACTAACATACCGCTGATCTGTCATGGTCCCTTGGATTACTACTAGAAATGATCCAAGTGACCATGACAGACCGGCTATCTCCACAGATGGCGTGATGGCACTCCGAACTATCACGCCAGCTGTGGGGCGGTTTGCCGTTCCAAATTGTGGAAGAATTGAGGCTTTCACCACGGGACCTCTAGACACGAACACGGCCGTTGTCAGTGCCCAAACTGAATCTGGACGCAAACCACTATCGCTGTATACAAACCGGTTCCATGCTGTCTGTCCTTACCGTTTCAGGCACCTCGAAATGGTAAGGACAGATACAGGTGTCTGTAAAAAGGGCGCCACCTGTGTTCAACGATACGATCGGTTGTGTGCGTGCTTCTCCGAGGACCAGGCGGTCCTTTCGGCTCGTGGTCTGCTGAGGGCGTCTCGAGTCTGGGTGCCCTATGTGCGAGCTCTTTCTTGTTCAGTGGTCCGAAAACCTCCTCACGCTGTTGTAAGAATGACCTAGGTGGTAGACTATTCAGCGAGATGACCAACCGGCTTCTCTCGACACGATGACCCTTCCTTTCTGAAACTCGGTTAGTTGTTCACACGGTTTTCAATTGTGACGTAAAGGTATTTCTAGTGATACGATGTCTGCAATAGGTAAACTATAAACAGGATGTCTTTGAGCGCTTTTTATAGACCAAAGGAAACGCACTATAACGCCTTCTGCTAGCATTACGCAATGAACCATTACGCTATAACTGTAATCATCTTCATATCTACTTGAACCTGATCTGTATGACAAGTTTCGCAGCGATACGACAACTACTTGGTGCGGTAATTTTTATGGCAGTGAGTGTATTATAGACAAATAACATTCATAAATTTGTAAAGTAATGTTGTGAAAATAATACAAAAAAACAAAAAAAAAAAAAAAAACGAAAAGCCTCTGCGCTGAATGTCAATGATTTATCCACATTCATTCACGTGAGTAAATTGCAAAGTCTGAAAATTTAAAGGAAAGATGAAGTTTATTCGTTTATATTTATCTTTATTTTTTATTCGTTTCAGAAAACCTTCGTACAACGGAATGGAATTCGAATGGAAGACATTTAACCAGGAAAAAAGAAACAGCCTTTCCTTAACTCTAGGAAACTTTCATCTGAGAGATGCAACAATAGAAAAGTGCAGATTTTGGGAGAAATTCCACAATTACAATTAATGGAGAAAAATAATTTTAAATAATTGTTTATTTTTAACTTTTGTATTATCGATTAATGCTTATACTTGTACTCAATTAAATATGCAAAAATATAATAGAAACGGTACGTCTTGTAATACTGTTACAAAGAAGAATTTCTTTCTAACAATGAAAAACCAAGTATTCTACGGTATAATACTGAAATTATATTTCGTATTGCTTATGCTGAATTGAATAATATTACAAGTGAAAACAATATAATTATTTGTATTTATGAAATTATTATATTTGGTTATTTTAATAAAATGTCTCGATACAACCATTTGTTAAAAGACAGAATAATTGATATTTTGAGTGAAATTCATATAAATATTATAATTAATTAATCGAATACACATTATTTCAATTGATTTTATGGTCTGTATATTAATTTATTGTCTTAGTCGTGAATTATTCTTAAATTTATGCTAATTCTTCACTTGTCTTTCTTTCATTATTTACATTATTATCCGACGTACTTCCTTCTAAATATGATATTTGAAACTCCCTCTCACCATCATCCTCTTGTTATCTCCTTGCTTCGAAACTTTTCTGTCCCCCATTTAATTTCTTGTTCAGAAAATATTTTATAAAAAACAAAGCACCCGTATGGTTTTCCGATGAAGAGCGATTCTAATCATTAGACGGCTCCAATGGCATTTGCAGAAATTGAGAACAGTGTCTTGTGTGCCATCTTGACAAATGGTACTCGAGCCATTTGAGATGAATATGATAGAATAATGAGTTCAGAGACGTTCATAAGTTTGATCACCACCATCACCATCCTTTGGATCATTTATATTCACGAAAATAACGGAGTTGGAGTGATTCGAATATAATACACAATTTTCAACCCGTTGAAAAATTCTTAATTAAATTCGTTTTCTTAATTTCATATATTTCACCATTTGAAACAAACACTTCATAAAAAATAAGGTATAAACAATTGCAAAATAGCATTATTGTCACAATAATATAAAAAAATTGTGATGCATTAAACATGGAATGCCTTAAGGAGATCTTCGAGAAAACGAAAGTTCAGTTGACAAGTGCCACGGATGCTCTGGTCTTCGGCATTCATTGTTTTATCGTGTGTCTGAAGATACGCTTCGTGGGGATCGGAAAAAGTCGGACACCGGATTGCGTACAGATGGATCCCTGGCAGCTACCGGAAGGCTGGAACGCGGATCAACAGGTTTATCACCTGAGATACGTGGACGAAGAAGGGTTTCGTTACTTGTTGAAAGTGGACTACGACAAGAAATTCGAGCGACTCGTTGTTTCCTGGACGGATAAGGAAGAAAAAAATATACACTTGATGGAAATAGACATGCCCAAATACACAGGTGAATCGTGGAAACAATTAGAGACAGCGTACAAAAATCTGGATGATTTTCAAAGTAAAATCACGGATATGATAAAATATGCCATCAAAGCGTCAAGAGAAGAGAAGGTGTCGACATCTGAAACACTGCCCGTAAACGTCGAGAAAGAGAAGACCCAAATTATTACTAAATGAGCGATCTGTGCGATAGTGAAAGTAGTTTCAGTTTACAAAATTCTTTAACTATAATGTGCATATATCTTTCAAAATATTATTAAAATAAAATAACAATTAGTTACGTTCCGGGTTTTTTATTTGCCAGAGGTGCTCACTGTTATACGTTAAATCAATTTTTTATGATTTAATTGAAATTCTAATGATTAATTAATGTAAATTCTATTGAATCTTAAGAATTATTTGTGTTGGATTTGATGGTTGCATGACAGCTTATTGGTTTAAAATTCTATCGACGAGTTGCTTAACTTTATCGAATGTTATGAGATTTTATGTAAAAAATAACTTTTATATTATTAATCATAATAAATAATTAAAATTGTGTGTGGCGCTATCTGTTACGAGATTTTGTTATAAAAACTTTTTGTATTTTTAGTTATTATTAAATGGCAAAAAGGTTAATTTTGGGGATAGAGATGAGTTTTATAAACATTTTAAATGCCTATAACCAGTCTTTACTTTATATTAAGTCTGGCTTCTATGAAGATATGACACGTGACAACCCACTATCTCTACCAAAGTTAACTACCAAAATCGAATAGCATCAATGTCCCTTATACACAAACCATCGGGGAAATTTTGAATTGAAATAACGTGACTTCCGCAATCATCGGAAATTTTTATATAGTTAATAGGGATCTACTGAACCTAAGCTTTCTATATCTATTCTTAAAGTTTATCTTCATTCTTCAGATTAAGAAAGGATAGACAAACGGACAACAGTGGGAATTTACAAGTCTGCAATTTTTCAAATGATTTATTTATCACGAATTTCATTTAAGCAGTGTCTGAAATTAGCATTGGGCCATACGTAAAACGTCAAAACGTTGACACAACTTTTGACCAAACTAATTAGTGATATCATTAAGCATTATAAGAGTGGGTTAATGCAATTGATGCAGAATGATAAAATATGTTATTCCTTTCGAGTTAAAAGTGTATGAAGAAGACAAAATATATAACTTTAGGCTATTTATTGTAAATACGCATGTAATTGCAAAAATATAATTGTAAGAATCAAAAAAAGGATCATTATTAGTACATCAACAAAAGAACTTGATTGTTTAAATACAATGGAGCATCTACATTCGTTTTACAGCAAAGTGAAAGATAAATTAAGTAGCCATCAAGATGCTCTTGTAGTCGTCATGCTGCATCATTATTTGCTTTCCAATGGAATGCATTTCATTGGCGTGGGAGAGGAATGGGCTAAACCAATCGAGGACTTCCAAGGAGACAAAATACCACACAACTGGAACTCCAGCCAAGAATCGTATAAACTGAAATACGTAGACGACTATGCTAATCGATTATTGTTGAAAGTGTCCAGATACGAAAGGAAAAAAGAAGGTAATCTTTTTTTTGTCTATTTACGTGATTTGCAAAATAATAGGGCATGCGGCACTATCGTTAGTATTAAACATTGCGCCATGGACACTGAGACGTGGTGGAAAAGTTCAGAAACAGCATATACAAGAGGTGTCGATGTGTATGAATGCGTTCTAAAACGTATGAAGGAATTCCTCTTAAATCCGAAAAATGGAAAGTCAGAGAAAACTGAAGAAAGCGCCGAATATTTATCTACAACAGCAACTAAAATACAAGAAATTATGAGTAAAACACAGGAGAAACAATTACCGGAGTCTTCGAGTAAGATTACGAAGAAAAACATCACAATTACTTCATCAAAGGCATCGAATAAGGAAGCTCCGGAACCTCCATCAAAGGAAAATCAACAGAAAGTCTCCACCAAGAAAAATAAAAAGGTTTCTAAAAAATAAAGATAAACGGTTTCGACAGTAAAAAAAAAAAAACAAAATTTTAAGTTGCATTGAACAAAAGATAATTTGAATTTTAAATTATATTAGATAATTTCTCGTTCTAAGAAGTTATTTTGTATTCTAATTATTTACGGAAATAAACAAAATTCTATAATAAATGACATACGTCATTCTATTATTCGTTAGTGTCGAACATGGAAATTTTGAGAATTTTTCTGTTCAGNCTTGTAATTCCAGCCTTTTATTTTTCTGACAAAACAATTCTTTTATGTATTCGCGAGACTGTCGGGTAGGCACTCGTTAAGTTTTGCGTCTGTTTTTCTTTTCGAAAGGTCAGAGTATAATAGCAAAGGTAGAGAGTGGGCAGAAGATGCCTAATGTTTTTGGGCAGTATGGCTTTGAACAGGTCTACAGTAGACCGTAGTTAAATCTTATCTAAGAAAGATACTGTATTATCAAGAAGACTCAAACACCTAAAGGAGTAACAAAAATCACATCTGAAATATAAAGAATATCGAAGAGTTCATAAGGGAATCCGAAACGGATCTGACGACAGAAGAACGCCAAGAACTCTTGAATGAATAACACCAAGAAACTCGGCGAGATATGTTTCTTCTTAAAAAGAGGATTAATGCCGATATCTGTTATTAAAGATCTTTTGTAGTAGTAGAAGGATGTCAAAATAACGATCATAGAATGGCATCCAAACCAGGTTGAGGCTTGGGGATTTCTACAATTGCAATGCTATTAATAACTACTTACGAAAAATCCTGAAGAGAGAAAAGCAATCGACATTAGACAGATTATTTAACCCTTTTAAATTGAAAAAAACATGACTAATAAAAATGCAAGACTGTGTATGTATGTAATTATTATTATTACATATAAATAAACGTAGTAAGAAAGTATATATATTTTTTT